AATTTCCTCCTCATGTCCAACCTCCATCTCCCTCTTCCAGCTTAAAACCATTACCTCTCATCCTCTCCCTCCCTGCCCTTGTCCCAAGCCCCTCCCCAGCTTTCCTGGAGCCCCTTCAGGCACTGGAAGGTGCTCTAAGGTCTCCCTGGAGCCTTCTCTTCTCCAGGCTCAACACCCCAACTCTCTCAGCCTGTCTCCAGAGCAGAGCTGCTCCAGCCCTTGGGTCATCTCTGTGGCCTCCTCTGGACTCTCTCCAGCAGCTCCATGTCCTTCCTGTGTTGGGGGCTCCAGACCTGGACACAGCTCTCCAGGGGGTCTCCCCAGAGCAGAGCAGAGGGGACAATCCCCTCCCTGGCCCTGCTGCCCACACTGCTGGGGATGCAGCCCAGGACACGGGTGGTTTCTGGTTCCAGCACACGGTGCTGGGTCATGTTGAGCTTCTAAACCCACTGCACTAAGTTCCCTGAAGAAGCCAAACCCTCCAAGCATAAAAAGGAGGCAAGAATTCCCCTCCTTCCCTGCCAAAGCCATTTCACACAAAAGCCCTAACAGCTCAGTGAAGAAGACAATCCCTAGTGCCACAATCCAAAGCTCAGCTGCAGCTTCTGAGCCCCTTGCACAAGCAGGTGGGGCAGGTGGTCCCAGCTCCTTCCAACCTACCCTGAAATTCCACTTGGCCAACTGAGCAAAGACATTCTTCAGGGCATTGTGGTGGGTGTAGAGTTCCACCTGCCCTGGGCAGTCAAACAAGTAGTAGTGACCCCGGGAGGTGGCCAGCTTCTCCTGCAGCCAGTCACAGTTGGCCTCCAGGTACTCCATGCAGTAGATCAACCCCCCGTTGGGCCCCAGTTTCAAGTCCTCCATCACATCTGGGAGGGTGATGAGCTCAGCAATGTCCAGGGAGCACTGGTAGGGCAGGGAATCATTGGCAGGGTCCAGGTTCACCACTGTCACCTTGCGCCCAATCCTGCCCAGGAATTCCTGCATCCCCTGGCAATAGGTGGTCTTCCCAGATCCTGGAGGTCCAATGACCACCTGGCCAAAGGCCAGGGAGCTCCCCTTGCTGCCCTCAGACATGGTGGGTCATTTCCTTCTCTTTCTGTCAACAGAGGAAGGAAAAGCTCCCACTGAGCATTTTGTTGGCATTTATAGGATTATCCATCCGCTGGAATTCACACCCAGGGAGAGGGTGGAGAAGGGCAAGTGCTGCTTCCCACCACTCCATGCAGAGGTGAGCCCTGTCCCAGGCTGGGTGTTGGGATGTTCACCACCCACCCCCCAGCTGGTGATGCCATGGCTGAAACCAGGATCTGTGGGACCCAGATCCCTGCTCCTGCCAAGTTCTACCCCAGCTGGGTCCTTCCCAACATTCCCCACACATTCCCTCTCTCACCCCAGCACATCCCCACGTCCTCCCCTAAATTTCTCCACATTCCCATATCCCTCTTGTCCCCCACACCCCCTCTCCTC